ATCCTTTTACTTTTAGTCTGCATATCTTTTATTATGAGGTGGATCTCTGGTAGATAGCATATATATGGGTCTTGTTTTCTTATCCACTCAGCTACCTATATTTTTTGATTGGAGCATTTAAGCCATTTACATTTAAAGTGATTAGTGGTAGGTACATATTTATTGCCATTTTATGCTTTATAACTATGTTCCTCTTTTTAAAAAAGTCTTCTTCTTAAAAAAGACCCTTCAACATTTCTTGTAATACTAGTTTAGTGGTAATGAGTTTCTTTAGCTTTTTCTTATCTGGGAAGCTCTTTATTTCACCTTCAATTTTAAATTACAGTCTTCCTGGGTAGAGCAGTCTTGGTTATAGGTTCTTGCTTTTCATTACTTTGAATATTTTATGCCAAGCCCTCCAGTGTTGGGACTGCCCTGCCTGGTATCAGAAGCTGTAACCCCCACCTAGGCTAAGGCTAAGGGAATGCCTTTGGAACCATAAGCCAGCAAGGAGACAAAAGCTTCTCTCTCTGGCAGGAGTGCTGCTTTTGCTGCTTCATTCATAACTGAACCCCAATGCTTGGTCAGTTAGCCAATGATGGGTAAGATTCCCCAAGGGAGGAATGACCTAAGACAGGCACAATCACGTTGGAGGCCCCCAAAAGAAGGACTTTGGGGGCTACATTAAAAGGGGGTGATGGGCCCTCGCTCCTCGGCTTTGACATAGCCTGAGTTCTCATCATCTGGGAGAACATCTCCTTATCTCTTGGTGTCTTAGTTCCCTTGCTCCCCCTAAGCCTGAAACAATGACAGGGTGGTGCAGCTCTGTGCTGAAAAGGGCGGATTCCTGGGGTGATCAGGCCTAAGAAAGAACATGTAAATTACTGTGAAACCTTCTTTGTTTAGAATGCTCTCAGTTGAATGAGAAGGGTCCAAGGAGGAAGTTAGTTTGTTCCTCAAAGTCTTACAGCTCTTTGACCCTGACTCAAAACAGACCCACAGAGTTCCTTGTTCTATTGTTCCTTACTTCCTCGTAATGAGTAATGTACTTTACCTAAATTAATATGCAAAATGAGCCCAATAAAAGCAGGTTTGGACAGTAAATCAGCGCATTCCCCTCTAGAGGGGGTGGCCATTCTGTTCCTATTACTCCACAGAAACTAGTCTGTCTCTGTGCATGTTTTTTCTCGAGTTTCGACGAGCCATCCTCAGCGTTCCATGATCACTGCTGGCCGGTGACCCACACATCACTCCAGCCTGAAACATTTCTGTTGAAAAATCAGCTGACAGTCTTATGGGAGCTCCCTTGTAGTTAATTGTCTTTCTCTTGCTGCCTTTGAGATACTTTCTTTGTCTTAAACTTTTGCCATCTCGATTATGATGTGTCTTAGTGTGGACCTGTTTGGGTTCATCTTGTTTGGGACTCTCTATGTTTCTTGGACCTTCGTGACATTTTCTTTACCAGGGTAGGAAAGGTTTCAGCCATATTCCTTCAAACAGGTTCTCAATTCCTTGCTCTCTCCTGTCCTTCTGGTACCCCTATGATAAGGATGTTGTTATGCTTCACAATGTCCTAGAGGTCCCTTAGACTATCCTGATTTAAAAAAAAAATTTTTAGCCCTGGCTGGCGTAGCTCAGTGGATTGAGCACAGGCTATGAACCAAAGTATCGCAGATTCGACTCCCAGCCAGAGCACAGGCCTGGGTTGCAGGCCACGGCCCCTGGCAACCGCACATTGATGTTTCTCTCTCTCTCTCTCTTTTGCCATCCCTTCCCTCTCTAAAAATAAATAAATAAATCTTTTAAAAAATTCTTTTTAACCCCCATTCTGATTGCATATTTTTTGCTACTTTGTCTTCCAAATCACTGATTTGGTTCTCTGGTTCATCTAGCCTACTGGTTGATTCCTTCTAGTGTATTATTCATTTCAGATATTGTATTCTTCATTTTTGACTGGTTCTTTTTTATGGCTTCTATGTCATTTTATGTGTGTGTTATCTCTTGTTAAAGTTCTCACTAAGTTCCTTGAGTATTCTTATAACCACTGTTTTGAACTCTGTGTCTGATAGCTCACTTGCTTCCATTTCATTTAGTTCTTTTTTCCTTGGGTTTTCTCCTGTATTATCATTTGAGGCATGTTTCTTTGGCTCCTCATTTTGGCTGCCTTCTGTATTTGTTTCTGTGTATCAGGTAGATCTGCTATGCTTTGGTATGGTGACCTTACATAGTAGGTATTTGTGGGACACAGAGGGGCTCTCTCTCTAATCCCCTGAGCTAGGTGCTCCAGGAATGTATCTTGTGTGGGTTATGTGAGCCTTCCTGTTGTAGTTGAGTTTTGTGTGCTCTTGGCCATGGGTGGGGCTTCCCCACCAGCTGGCTATAAGTATCTCTCCTGAAGGCAACGTATGAACTGCTGAGTGGGGGCTGGCTTCACAAAGCTGAATTTGCCCCAACATTGTCTGGTGTCTGCTGAGATCTCCCTTTGTGGTATGAACCATCAGGTATGTTGGTTCTAGGGTCCATTGGGAGGGAATCTAGTGCAGGTCAAAGTCAGGTGCTGGCACTGATAGTTGCTGGGCTACCTGTTTGGAACTATCAAGTGATCCACAGTTTGTGGCTACCTCTGTTGGGCCTGGATTTGTGTGGGAGGTGCCTAGGGGCGCACCAAGGTTGATTTCTGTTGGCACTGAGTCCATGGACAGGTCAGCAAAAGGTCCAAGTCTCCTTGAGATCTGCCCTCATCTGTTAACTGTCTGGTAGGCTCAGTCAGTGTTCGAAAAAGCCTCTGGTACTGTGTGAGTTGTGTGATGCAGGCTCTCAGTGAGTGGTGTTCATCAGATTGATATAGATTCAAACTTGGCACCAGTGCTACGTTGGAGGCTACTCAGCAGTAGTCTCATGGTACACCAAGGTCAGCTCTACCCACCAAGTGCCTGTGGACCTATGTGGTGGGGCAGGGTCTCAGTAATTTATCAGGGTGAGGCAAGCTGAAGCCCAAACAGACAGAGATGTGGCCTGTGAAAAGACAATTCTACATAGGAATGGTGGCACTGGTCTTGTGTATGAGGGAAAAATGGTCCAGCCCAAGAGTCAAACAACTCAGTTCTTCCTAAAGTCCACCCTGATCTTCTGGAGAGTCTTCTGTAATTGGGGACCAGGATGGCCACAGCCTGCTAACAATATTTCAGAGTGAAACTAAGCAAGGCCAGCCACTGGAGTTGAAAGAGTGGAGCTAGTGGCTTTCTCAAGGAGGGTTGGGATGCTACTAATCTGACCCATAGGGTACAGTGTGCAGCTTCTCAGGCATTCTGATAATGTGTCACAGCTACTCTGGCCCATAGTGGGTGCTGGGGTGCAGGTACTCTGGTCCTCAGGGAGCAGGGAACTTCACATGCACTGGTGCTCTGGTACACTGTGTGTGAGGGGGCAGGGTAAATGGTCTCTGACCCAGGGCCATACAACTCTGAGTTGACTCTCAAGCTCTCTTTAAGAAAATCTCTACCACAGGCTGCTCAAGCAGCAGACTGCTGCAGGTCATGAGCATGGCTGGAGTGACAGAGGTATGGGGGGGGCGGGGCTTGTGCAGTCCCTACAGGCCAGGGCAGTTTGGAGGGGAGAGCTGGACCCAGGAAAGATGGTGTCTGTGGGCAGAACGGGAGAGAGACTCAGCACAGGGACCCTGATGGCTGTCCCTTCAGCTCTCTACCCAGAACCACACAACTCACTCAGTCTGTCCTCACAAGACTGTAGTCTGCTCTGAGCTGCTCTTCCTCTGCTGGAGCCTGGGGTGAGTAGCAGTGAACAAGATTTCATGAGCTGGCCCTTTAAGAGGGCACCTAGGTCTCTAGCAGACAGCTGTCTTTTCCTAGTGACCAAATCCCCAGGTTTTTACAGCCAGACATTATGTGGACTCCTCTTTCAGGCTCTGGTGCTCCAGGCTGGGAAGCCTGGCATAGGGTTGAGACCTCACACTCCTCACAGGGAACCTGTGTAGCTGAGGTATTCCTCTGGATGTTCAGCTGATATACATGGATTCAGGGTCAGCTCTTTTCATGCCTCCACCCTTCTTACCAGCCTAGATGTGGCTTCTTCTGTAAGTCCTTGGTTATAAGACTTCCGTTCTCCTAATCTTCAGTTGGTTGTTTAGGCTGATTGTTCTATAACTTAGCTGTAATTCCAGTTCAGGCCTGGGAGGAGGTGAGTGCAGCTTCCACCTATTCTACAACCATCTCCCAGGCTTCTTGATCAACTGGATTTCTGGTTTTTACAAATTGGATTTACATGAGTTCAAGCAACATTATCCGATTCATTCCTAGGGTTCACTGTCTATTATAAGAGCTATAGGACTAAAATATAACATTTTGCATCCCATAGTGCTCAGCCTGATATAGCTATATCTTTCTCACCAATATGGCTACAGTGTACGTTAACTAGTCTCTACAAACTCATTGATGCCTACAAACACACTAATTTTTCTATGGGTGGTGCCTGGTTTAAGGACGAGCAAAGTGAGCACTCAAGAAAGGCTTGAGAAGAAAATGCATTCTGATATACATGTGAGTATAAACATGCTGTCTCTTAACTAATTTACTTAAGATTTCAAGATGAAAGCATAAGGGTATTATGAAATGTATCATACTGAAAGTAAAGATGAAATCTAATAGTTAAAAAAGGGAGGAATGTTGCCAGTGCCTCTAGATAATAACTCAAACACTTTAAGAACTTACTAAACCCAATAGAACATTATTACAGTTTATCATGCCATGTTCATGGGATGGTCCAAGTATGCAATTGATCAAAAATATGCTACAGCCACCTGCAAACATACCACATCTTTGCTGCACACACACACACACACACACACACAATCCCCAGACACTGGCACACACACAGTAATCAGCATACACACAGTGCCAACACTCAGAGTTAGAACCGGGCCACCCTAACTTTTCCTTGGGCCCCATGACTATGGCAAGAAAGGAGGATGGGCTGGTGGGGAGTATGCCAGGAGGAACCATTACCATCGTTCTCTAGAGACCCAGGTGCACCATTGTTAAAGATTTGATCCACATGATTCAATATGAACTCAATCACCACCTGCTGGACCCGCACGGCAAGGAAGGCTGCATCTCCATTGCAACCCGTAGCTTCAATTTCTTTGGACCTAAATCGTGAAAGAAACACATTCAGTTCAGTGAGTCAACCCTAGAGCAGTAAGGGGGAGCTAGTGGGCCTTTTATACAAGCCCCATCTCTTCCATGTATATGGTTAGTTAATCTGTAGGATATATACATTCTTAATTCTCACCTGAAGATATGTTTATTGATTTTAGAGAGAGAGGAAAGGGAGGGAGAGAGAGAGAGACAGAAACATTGATGTGAGAGAGAAACATTGATCGGCTGCCTCTCATATGCACTCCAACCAGATATTGAACCTGCAACTAGTTTGGTGTACAGGACGATGCTCCAAAGAACTGAGCCACCCCGCCAGGGTGAGTATTTTAAATACTAAAACCTACTAAAGGGACTTTCCAAGTGCTGTGAAGCCCAATGCACTGAACAAATTTAAAATAATTACCAGGAATTATACATTGCAAGACTATAACACTATTATTAGTGAATATTCAGGAATTTATTTCTTTCCACAGGATCTGCCCCACCTGATTGTTCTGTGGGGCAGATCATCATTTATAAAGTCACATGAAGCAATTGATTCAGGTTACAGCCAGCTGTGACCCCACCAAAACCATCAAAAGCCAATGAGCCACAAAGACAAGAAAAGCCTTTTCAAGAAATTATAAAATACAGACCCATTATTTTAGTCACCTCCCAGTCACAGCCAGAAAATGCCTTTAGAACCCAGAGTTTCCAGGGCAGCAGGCAAAGAAGTTAGGCTATTAAAATCACCTTTAATCTGTATGTGCTACAAAAGACAATTTAACTACAGGTTTGCCTTCAAGGGTCTTCAATTTTGAAGAACCCAACCTTCATTTTAATCAGTGGGCTGTTCTGAGCCCAGTGCAGGGACGGTGGGGTGAGAGATGAGGGTGTGGTGGTTACCTGAGGAGGTTTGGCGCCCACACGAGGGCCAGGTTCCTGGCATGCATGTTGGTCTGGCTGCTGAAGGAGGCGATGTGGGCCAGGTGTCGAATCAGGTATTCCAAGGTCCTGTAATGGTTCATTCTTTGTTTTTACAAAGTAAAAACTTTAAGGCCTGTGTGAAGCTTGGAGATAATTTCTAAGTTTGTATTTGAGAGACTAAATAAATATTTCTATCTTGTGAGTTTTGGAGGAGTATCAGGAAGACACCAGGACTGATGGAAATAATTTTCTAATTTTCTTGGCCCTCAGCATGTTGGCCTATGGTGGGGAATGGGGATATTCTTGGATAAAAAACATCTATTATTGCTAGGAAGTTCTATCTTACACCATATCAAAATCTGCCCCCTGTAACAGATGGGCAGGCTTAGGGAACACTGGGAAAGGTGGTAAGATTAGGGGATAAAGAGGGAGAATGAAATGAAAGGATGGGATGATGCTCAACACTCAAGAGCTACAGTCAAACTCTGTTTTCAAACCATCTTGGTTTTCACAGATTTGGTTACTCTGTGAATCTGGGTAAGAATCTAGGATATCACTGTGAAGATATCCTTGTGTGATCAGAATTAGGGTGAGACTCCTGCGAGTAACTGGGACATGGGCTGCCCCTTCCCATCAATGTCCCTAGTCAGACATCAACTCATTCTGATGAAAGTGACCTGTTCACCCTCCTCAAAATCCCCCAGGAAAGCCACTGTCTGCTGAATTTGTTCCCTTTTATGACTCCAGCCTGCATCTGCAGCCCCATGAGAGGCTGTGACCTTCTTTCACCAAGGATGCTTACCTATAATGGGATGGGGGAAGCTCCTGGATAACATTTTGGATTCGGGCCAACTGGCCTTCTTCTGGGCAGCGTGACACTGCCTCCTGCAGAGAAGAACACGAAGAACCCAGTGAATGCCCGAGAGGGTGGACACACACCTGCATCGGCTGGTTTTACTTAGGCTTCTGGTACTGTAGCCTTCCAACCCGGCCTAGAGCTCATCCTTCCAAGAGGCATGCTTTTCTAGTAAAAACAAATAACCGCAATCTCTGAGGGTCCATACGTGAAGCCTCTAGCATTGCACACACCCAGAGGCCTATGGATTGTTTGGGTCTCTCTGCATTCTCAGATGGGTGTTAGGTATCATCTGGTAAAGAAGGTGTAGAATCTCGAATGTGTCTAGTGTGGCAGAAAGAGTCACAGAGACTCTGGGAGAGATAGAGAGAGAGAGAGAGAGAGAGAGAGAGAGAGAGAGAGAAAGAGAGAGAGAGACAGAGAGAGAGAGAGAGACAGGTGAGGTGAAGATGACAGGGTGGCACAGTGTTTACTCAGCCAGCTGTCTTCTTGGGTGCGAAGAGCCACTTCCCATCCAGCCTCAGACTATTCCATGACCTTGCTGCTTACTCAGCAGCTGCACGTTGTAGATGCTGGGAAGCAGGGAAGACGTGTCTTCTCAGCCAGATAAGAGCTTTTTCCCTGAGACCCAGTGGCCTTGCCAGGTCTTGCTCTCTGTTGTTTCCTGTGTGGGTATGTTGTCTCCTCCCTCCAGCCCGAGGGCCTTACGGGAGGGGTTTCAGTAAAGGCAGTGTGATCACAGGCTTGTCCAGGAATTCTGTGCAATACAGGTGTCCCTGGGCAGATCCCCCCGCATCCCTGTCCTGAGAACCTATCCTGCCTGCACCCGGGCTCAAGGGCCCTTCCCAGTACATGGCTAAGCGCTCCAGAATTGCCATCATTGGAGCAGTACCTAAATTCAAGGTCAACAGCAGTCATATCTTTCTTTTTTTGCCTGAGGTACAATTTATATATATTAAAAATGTACAAGTCTTAAACTATAGCTCCATGAGTTCTTCCATATACATATACCCATATTACCCAGCCAAGACCAAGTTACACTTCAAAAGGAACTCCTGAGCTCACTTCAGTCTATGACCTGAATCCATAGGCACATACGACTCACACAGTCTTGTATTCTGCACCCCCCCCCCATGCTGGAAATTTGCTTTACATTTATGCAGAGGGTAGGCAAAAGTAGGTTTACAGCTGTTTATATAAAAAAAGGTATAATACTATAATACAAGAATAAATAATTACAGAAGAATAAATTTTTTGTTTCGTATACTCACAAATGTAAGCCTACTTTTGACCACCCTATATACAGGGTCTGTCTAGAAAGTAATCAGCCACATAATATGAAAAAAGAGACAATTATTGAAAAAGATACAAGATACAGGAAACACTGCACATAGGACAATGATGCCTCAGTCCCCTTCAAAGTAGGCACTTGGGATCTCACATAGTTCTCCCAATAGCTGTCAGCTGCCCTGTCATATTTTCCTGAATCTCACTGATAATCAGAAAGCTCTTCCCTTTCAAAGGTGATTTTAGTTTGGGGAAAAGCAAGAAGTCACAGGGCACCAAATCTGGGATGCAGTGGAGCTGAGTCACCTGGGCGATTTGATGTTTTGTCAAAAAATTCTGCATGAGATGTGATGCATGAGCAAAAGCATTATCGTGATGAAGCTGACAATCACCAGTGCCCACAGCTGCAACTGTATCTGAAAAACAGTTCCTGCACAGGAATGTTTAAGTTTAATGCAAAATTTGTTGCAGATTTGTTGCAGTTGTTTTGAATGTGATGGCCACGCAGTACACAAGCTCACTCAACAGCATCTACCGCCCTACTGACTAGTACAGTGAAGTCGTCACCGTCCGAAAGTGTGCGTTTCAGTCCACTCTCCTTGGCTACCAAGTTATATTGATGTTGTGCAAACCATTCTCACTATATTAACAATGGCTGGAATTTTTCTGAACAGATCTCATGTATTGTAAAATATAGTGTTTAATTTGATGAGTATTGCCCCCTGCAATACCACTAAAATAAGATCTTAATTATGTTGTGGTTTTCTTATAATATTCACCTCTGCTCAGCATTTAGCTGTCATCTGCTTGATGTGCATAAGGAGTGAAGTTCAAACTCGCAGTTATGAGAATTTTTATGCACAGAAAAGTAGAAGGAAGTTAACTTTATGGGGCACTTTCTGTTCGCCAGGTCTGGGAGGCTACACTTGCTGGGTCTGTTGTGTTCTAACCAGAGAGAACTCCGAGGTGCTGCCCGGCCAGCCTTCCCAACCCCCTCACCTGTCTCCATTTTTTCCACAGCACTCACCGCCTTCGCCTATACTACATAATGTGCTTATTTACCAGGTTTACTGTTTTGTCTATCTCCCTCGCTAGATGTAAGCTCCGTAAGTGCCCGGATGTGACGAGTCCCAGTACCTGGCGCACAGGCATTCTCTCCAGACTTGTTGAATGACTGACTACACTCCATTTCCCTCCATGCCAGGGCTTTATCTTTATCTGTTAAGGGTTTTGGGGGTGTTTTTTGCCTTTTTATTTAATTAAAGTATATATACAGAAGCTTACCATTGTTAAAGGCAGTCAAAATTCTCTACATGGAAAACTTGATATTTTGTTTCCTAAGCGGAAGTGGGGAGAAAGTGAGAGTGGGAGAGGCACAGTCACAGGTGCCCCGACCTACTGGTGGGTGTGCAAGCCTGAGAACGGAGCCGGAGTCCGCGCAGCCTCTGTCTCCGTCCTCACTTTTTGAGACATGCAGGATGAAGAAGGCGAGGACAGGAAAGGGGGCCGGAGTAAGCACCCTGACACCTCTGCTCTCTTCCCAGGAGTGGTCACTTAAAAAACATTTGTGGGGAGGACCCTGGCTGCCAAGGGAAAGCCTCATCAAGGGAGTAAAGGGAGAGAAACTCCAGGGGAGGGAGGGGCATGGAATGCAGAGTGGCGCCTCCCACAGTCTATCCTGCACAGGGGGAGGGGTGGGAGGCCTCTCTTCCTCTCCCCACAAACCTAGGATGAGCTTGGCAAAGCTTGCACACACTCACCCCCACCCTTTCTAAAAATGTATCTGGGGAATAAAGGTGTAGATGAATTTAACAGACCACATGGAAAGTTCCTTTAACATTTTAGGAAGCTGTTAGTCATCTTTGTTCTCTGAGAGGCAGGGCGGGCTCATCCCCTGGTGCCTGTGGCTGCCATTTGGGATTGGCGTTTATTTTATTATCCATAGCCTCTCCCCATCACACCCCTATCCTATTCAGAGGCTCTCTAGATCTTTGTTTCTCTCCTGAAACAGCTCAGTCACTGCAAACTTATTTTTAGCCCATGCAGCCCTGTCAGCAGTGTGGACAAACAACCTGGGGCTCCTCCTTCTAACTATAGCCCTGCTGCAACTCAGCCTTTGCCTTTTATTTTGAATTACTTATTTAAAAATTATAATTTTTATTTTAAATTATTTACTCAATTGGATTAAAAGAAGTAACTCGTACATGTAATTTTGAAAATGCAAAACAACCAAAGGAATACACAGAAGAAAGTGAGTGTTCTTTCAACAGCAGACCTCCTTCTCCAAAGGCAACCACTGCGTGTCCTTCCCCGCAGTCTCTTTGCCTATCTGTCTTTGTCACACCGTGGAAGCAAGCGTGACTAGGATCTGGCCTGTCTGCAAAGTCCCTGTCTCCCATCATTTTCCCTTTGCTTGCTCCACAACAGCCACGGTGGCCTCCACATATTCTCTCAAGCAAGCTCAGGTCAGTTCTCCACAGGGCCTTTGCACGTGCTGGTCCTTCATGACATCCTCTTCTCCTAGACAGTAGCCTAATTTGGTCCCTCACTTCATCCATGTCTCTGTTCATATATCACCTTATAAAGAGGTTTGATTTATCCTAACAAAAATATCAGTCCCCATCATTCTCTCCCCTGTACTTGCATAAGTTCTCCTCATAATACTTATCAACAGTTCTCCTTATGTAACAGTGAAATGCTTATTACTCTGACTCTGTTCTAATTCTAGTCTGCATTTCTCCCCTGGCCTCCAGGGAATAGCTCTTGCTATAGATATGCTAATATTAGAAGGTTTCTGCTTGAGGTCTCGAGCTTTTGGCCAAGATTTGCAGGAGCCTCAAGACTGGACTCAAGGGAAGGGTGGGGGGACACAAAGAGATTTAGAGATTTCCCTTCACTTCTGTGGGTGCTCAGCTGTCTGCGGTTAGTCATCCCACACACCTCTTGCCCAGCCTATCCTCCCTTCCCTGGACACAAAAGAAACCTGAATTCTGGGCTCTCTTAAGATGGATTTAAGGGAGCTCTAAGCATGCCCACCACTCACACCCACTCACACCCCCTAGTCCCCCCCCAACCCCCATCCCCAGTCGTCTCCAGTTTGACACCTCCTCAATCAATAAATCTTTCCTTATTCCAAAATGTTTTCCCTGATGTTTTGAATATTGGCCGTTTGAAGCACTGGGCACATGGACCTTGAACTGGTAACACTTAGAGAACTACGCTTTAAATTTGTTTATCATCTGTCTCCTTCATTAAAATGCACATGAGCAAGGATTTTATAGGTCTTGCTTACTATGCAATCCCCAGCACCTAGACCTGTACTTGCCATACATAGTGTACATAGTAGATACCCAACAAATGTTTGATGAATAAAATGAGTAAGTGAATGAGTCCACATTTTGCTTTTCATTTGAAAATGCCAAACAGATGCATTTGTGCCACACTTCCAGGGCAGTACTAACTGAGGACCATACCTCCATCACAGGGAACATTAGCATTGCTGACTTTAGCTTAACGTGGTCACAGGTATATTTAATAGAGGAAGGAAGAGGAAGATTTGACACAGAGAGGAAAAGGCAATGTGATCACACTGGCAAAGATAGGAATGATGTGCCCACAAGCCAGAGAATGCCAGCAGCCACCAGAACTGGAAGAGGCAAGAAAGGGGTTTTCCCTGAGAGCCTTTGGAATGGCCCTGCTGACACCTTAATTTCAGCCCACGGAAAATGCTTTCAGACTTCTGCACTCTCAGAATGTGACAGACTCAATTTCTCTTGTTTAAGCCACCAAGTTTGTGGCAAGCTGTTACAGTAGCCACATGAAATAAATACATGTACTCAAAGTTAATATGAAATATGAAGGGCAAAAACTCACCTCCTATCCCACTCCCCAGACATAACCACTACTAACTTCCTCACATGTAAAGCATAAAAGACACAATCTTCCCAGGCTTCCCAGTACCAAATACGAACACTGGTATCATTTCCTATTTAGTTACATACACTGCTTTATTCTATTTTATTTTGTATTGTGGCCATTAAATACGCCTCAGAAATGTGACTTTTCACAGATACACAGGATTGAACACAACAGATTTATTATAATTTATTTAACCCATCCCTTATTGATAGACACATAGATACTCCCAAAATTTTGATATTATAAATATTTCAATAAATACTCATAATCAATTATTTTTGCATATCTGATTATTGTCTTAGAATGGAATCCAAGAAATAAAGTTATTGTATAACAAAATATGAGCTTTTTAGGACTTTCTGACAGTAATTTCCAGCGACTTTCTGGATGCCCAGACAACTTACACTTCCAATAGGAAACTATGAAAGAGTCAGTCTTACTGCAGTTTGTTCAATTTTTCTAATATTATTGAATTGCTCCTTCATTAGTTTAGGATGCTTTCTTTATCTTATATTAAGTTATTTAATACCTGAGAATATTTAAAAAGCTGTTGACTGTGTTTTAAAATAATGTGGTAGTTCTGAGACAAAATGTAAAATCTTTATTTCCATTTAACAGCTGAGGCCCTTGCACAACCCCAGGCAAGAGCCTCTCTGAGCCTCAATTTACTCATAAAAGAGACAAAATTAAAACTAACAAAATAATATTTATAACAATAAATAGCAGCTATTAATCATTATTTTCCAGTATTTTTTCTAATTCTGTTATTCCATTGAGATATTATTATGCTTTAACTGTGTTAGTTGGGATTAAATAAATCATTATAAGAATGTGAGACTATGTAATTGAGCTATTTCCATGTCCCTGAAAAGGTTTGCTTGCAGTATAATTTGTTATCGTGTCAAAGAACTCTATTAAATGATCAATTCTTCAACATAATTAACTTCACTAGGTTCTAACTATGTAGAAATCAGTTGTTACAACAAAACATTCTTATTTTATTTCGTAGTATCAATAAACTGTGTAAACATATCATTAGATTTCCTTAAAATTTGATAACAGATTGACAATAATATTGCTTTGTCATTTTTCTGTTGCTGTGAGAGAACAGAATGATTAGCAATGTTAGGGAACAGAAGCAGGGAGAGATAAGAAGACCATAGTTTCTGAAGTTTCTAGACAAGACTTCTTATCTACACCAACTGTCATAGAAAGAAATTTAGTTAAAATAAGTTAGATTCATTCTGTTCTTAAACATGATGATATTCTATCATAGTCAAGTGTGATACTATTGCACTGATAAGAGAATTAAAACAATGTAGAAAGCAAACAATAGTCTTATGTTCTAATTAGAACAAGAAGATATATTTTCACTCAAAATGGCAAATAATTTAGCAAACTGAAAATATCCAGTGTTGAGAGAGAGAGTGTGAGTGTGTGAGAGAGGGAGAGAGATCCGTAAGGCTGTCTCCTAAAATGTTAATAGCAGATATGCCTGGGTGTGGGATTTCAGGTGATTATACTCTTTCCCTTATACTTTTCTGCATTGCTTTAATTTTTGAAATACAATTTTATTTTAATTTGGAAAAACAAAAACGCCATGCCAACAGCAAATTTAAAAAGATGAGACAAATATCTAGATATTAATTGTAGTTGTCTTTGGTCTTTAAGAGGAGAGACCAAAGGTGTGTCTTCCTACTTTCCTCCCTTTTCCAAATTGTCTTTTCCTGAGTACAACTGCTTTTAAAATGAGGAAGAACTCATATATGGTGATGGTGATGATAGTCTGGCAGACTCACATGAGGCCCACACACAACCTTTCCTCCTGGTTCCTGGGAAAAGACTCCTCTGTGGTCCAGTGGACAGAGTCTGCCATTATTTATGACTCAGAGTGGAGGCTCATTTGCCTCTATCTTAGATCTCAAGGTCCTCCTGGATTTCTTAGGGTCCTCTAACCACTGCTACTTCCACATCAGTTGGTATACGTTTTTTGAGGGTTTGGCCCAATTTTTTCATTAAAAATATAATGTATTTCTAGTGAATGCAATTTTGAAAACAGCAAGGGAAACTAATCCATCATTGAAATAAATGGTTATTAATCTTTTGAACATCTTTCTTTTTAATCATGTCTTAATATACAATGTATATCTATTTTTCCAATTATCATTATGTTTTCCTCTATCATTAAAAACTTTTAAATATATTTTAATGGCACAAGCCCAATTTCTAAAAAAGTTTTACTTATTCCATATCATTTCAAATTGAAGAATGTTTTATATGCTCAAAATAAGTTTATTACAGGAGCCATGAGAGAGATTCCTTCCTATGGTTGGAGTGTACATCTGTCCTTACCAATAATTGGAACTGTTCCATAATCTTAATTTCAAACATCCCCTCTGACCACCCACTCTAGCAATCTATTGACCTCACTGGATGATTAATCCATTGATCTTCTTTTCACTGCTATACACCTGCTTTCTGCCCTCATTTCCTTTCTTATTCAGACAAAATTTCATGGTCAGTCAATTATTTCACTCACTCTTTTGCACACACCCTCATCTGTCTCAATCCTCTTTTGCTGGCCAACATCAAACTTGGTTAAACCCAACTCTCTTCCTCCACCCCTGCATCAACTGTTCAAGCCCTGTTTTTAATGCTATCTGTATAGACATCCTTTAAATATTTATTCTCTTCTCTACTTTCACTATGGGTGCCTTATTTGGTGACCACACAGCTGCTCTGTAGGTGTCCTGCTCTTGCCCATCCACCCTCCACCAAGCCAACTCACCAGTCTATCCTGCACTCTGTCTGGGCTGCCTTTCCCAGATTCTTTTCTCTTTCCTGCTTTCTGAGCTCTCTCTTGACTTCTGTTTGTTCTTGCTTCCTTTTCTACTTGCCTATCTCTTTCCCCAAGCCTCAGAAGGAGTAACTTAATAAAAATAAAGTAGCAGTGGGTACAGCAATTAGTCTCATGTTCCTGTCCTGCTGTGTGACCTTGGGCCAGTCATTTCACTTCTCTGGTCCTTGGTTTCCTCCCTAAGCAATAAGATGCACTTGGTTAAATAAACCTGGAGATAATTTAACCCAGCTCTTAGAACAAACAAACAAACATGATTCTGAAAATTTAATAAAAGAAAAATTAGACAAGCAGTCCCATTACCCTACTTTCTTCACTATCCCATTCTGTCTATCACCATGCTAAGGTAATGTCATTCATCTGATGAGTATTATTATTATTATTTTCGTGCTGAAACTCTCCTTGGCTCATCCACATGTCCCACCCAGGAACCATACTGGAAATCTAAACACTTACCGTGAATTTCTCATAAAGCTCATAGGTCAGGAGGGGGTTGGGCAGCTCCCTAAAGTAGAGCTTGCAGAGTGAGCCCACACAGTGGATGTCCTGGAGGTACACTTCCCTCGTCAGATCTGGACATTGATCTGAGCCAAACTCTTGCCTGAAACAACACAGACAGAGACATAACAATCCCAGGAACCTGTGTTCCATGTCAGCAGCTTAGAGGTAAGAAGACCCTAAACTGCTGATCTGACTGTATATTGACCCTGATACAAAAAGACCTTCTATTTCAGGCACAAGGAAGCAATGGGAAAACTTCCATTTCAGGGCCGGATCTTGCCTGTGAAAGCGGCTGTCATTAGAAGGACAAGTCCATTTACAAATGGATTTCTCATGGCATTATGTTCACAGTACCCGTTATGAACAGTGGGGAAATATGAAATCAGTTTGCCAAAGAAAAGCCTGTAGAGATTTCAGTTTTTCCAAAATATTGTTCTAATGAAATCCTCTTTCTTGGAGGAGAGAACAAAGCCAGATGAGTCAGACTGTTATCACTCATCTCCACATATTCATGCCAACAAACTTGTTTTATCTAGAGTCTCCAACCTAATCAATGATCTCTTTGATGCAGGATGGAACCTTCTAGGCTGCCTGATAGTGACTCCCACAGGATAGAAGAACCTACAAATCTCTTGTTAAACAACCTGTAGTGGGGTGCTTGGAAACATCGACAGATTCCAGGCCTCGTTTCCAATGAAAAACATTTCCTAACAAGGTTACACAAATTCCCTGACTCAACTAATGTATACTTCCAATTAAAAATCTGTTTGAAAAAAGACAAATTTAAGCTTTAACTCAGAAGAGAAGTTAGGCTTAATGAGAGTATTCACTTGGCCAACCAAGGACAATAAGGCCAACAGGCCTCCCGGAGCCAGCATTTCAGATCAGCTGGCCCATTCTCCTGCAGTTTGCTTCTGCCCTTGTAATGGGGTAGGGAAACCCCCGCTGCTGTCAGATCCCCCCCAGATTGAGTGGAGCCTAGAAAAGAAAACCAATGGCCTCATATATTCATAGCCATGTGTTTTTCTAAGAGGGCAGAATAAGAACAATTAAAAGGTTATTCACTTATTTAGCCAAAAGTTTCCCTTGTGAAGGTTACGGTCAGTCCTTAATTAAAAAAAAAATGACCATTGCCCAGGTGTCCTTCCATGATATCAACTACTGTGTAGTATATTTTAGAACTAACAGTAAACCATTACAAAGTATTTGCTATTGAAAGTCTAAAAAATGTCACACTAGTCAGTTAATGAAATTATGTAAGCACACACGTCCGTTAAAATCCATGGTTGCAATTAACCAGTTATTTTTTTTATAGCCATCACTTCTCCAGGAATAAAAAGATTGATTTATTCATTTACTGCAATTTTATTGCAATTGAGATTTGAAAAGGAGGGTCAGAAAACCAAATAGAAAAAAGAAGACAAAAAATTAATTATTTGCATAATCTCTTACCGTATTTTGCTGTGTATAATGCATCTTTTTTTACCAAATTTTTGAGGGAAAAATAAGAATGTGGGTATACACATGGTATAATGATTATATACCATGGGTATAATAATCCTGTGTGTGATGTGTACAAAATATGGGTGCATATTATAGATGGCAAGTATGATAAATTTTACATACTTACTTTGTAACAAGAATGTTTTTATTGTTTTAAAACTCTACATTTACAACTAAAACATATAATAAATATATAAAAATAACATCTAATAAAATATGTTCTTTTTCATGTTAAAGTACATAACCTATTGTTTTAGTCACAAAACTATATATTATATAGTGTATATGCATGGTACATTATATATACATGGTGGTGCAAAAGTAGGTTTATAGTTGTGAGTACATACACAAAACAAAGAATTTATTCTTGTATTATTATTTATTAATTACTGTATTATTTTCCATACAAACTGTAAACCTACTTTTGCCCCACCCTGTATACTGCATATATAGTAGGTATATACTCCTTTTATTTTTATAAGCAATACATATAAAATATACACACACATATCTGTCGGGGTTTTTTTTTTTTAATTCTCACCCAAGGACATTTTTCACTGTTGTTGTTGTTGTTGTTTTGAGAAAGAGAGAAAGGGAGAGAGGAAGGGAAAGACACAAAAACATCGATTTGAGAGAGGAGCAGTGACTGGTTGCTTCCATCACATGCCCAGACCAGGGATCAAACTTGCAACTTAGGTAGGTGCCCTGACCCGAAGTTGAACCCACACCACAGCCTTTCGGTTCTGGGACGACACTCCGACCAACTGAGCCACACCAGCCACAGCACACATACCTGTGTTTTGTGTGGATTATTATACTGTAAATTCAATGTGATAGAAATTTCTCCCAAAAAATTTGAGGACAAATTTTAGAATTGCTTAAGGTAAGTTCTTAGAATTAAGAATCATTCATTATTAAAATTAATTAATAATGAATGATTCTTAATAATTTTTAAAATACCAGCTTCAGTTAGAGAAATGTGCATTTATGCAGACTTCTGAGCTCTCCAGCAGATGAAATACCACATGTCGAGTGCATGCCAACAGAAAAACACATCCGTCTCTAAGTTTTGAACACTATGTAATGGGATCTAACTGAGCTTTGGGTAAACAAGTGAATTATAACCAATCATACTTCCCTAACTCAGGAATTGAAATCATTTGAGTTCAATCGAATCCACCCAAGGAGGGTAAATCTAGTATAAGATAAAGAAACAGATTAAGAGCCCTCAGGAGCTTTTGTTGGAAAGAATTACATCAGACTGGAGAATTTCCTGATTAGATTAAGAACAGGCCTCTGAAAACATCACACTTGATCTTCTGCCCTCCACCCTTCCCTCACTCCCCCCAGGTTCTTAATACCCCCAACACCTGTGGACTGAGACATGAACCTAGAAAGAATCAGGAGAGAATTCTTTTGGGGGCTATTCTTTTAGCTTACCTTAGCCGTTGTATGTTTGAGGTGACTCCCGAAAGCCGATAAATTCCATCCACGATGCCATGAGTCTCTATAAATTCTGCACAGCTCTTCAACACATATGGAACTGTGTAAAGGCAAAGGAAAAACAATAAAGTATTAGCTATAAGTCTGACTGTTCTTTAAAGATAATCTTTAAAAATAATCCAGGTAGCTTCAAAGAGAAATAGGTGTGGAACACATATGAGCTACAAGTGGAAACAATTACTTGTAAATGGTAGATGTTCTTTTATATTTTTAAAAAGCGCAGGGTTCTTTTAAAGTTCATAAAAATCATGTATTTTAAGAGCTGGGTTTTTAAACATTTTTTTAAAAATATGCAAACACTTAAATTTTGAAACCAGCAGGGACCTTGGAAATCCCACAACTCGGTCTCCTCATTTCACAGGTTCTCCAACACAGTTTCCTGATCAGCAGCATCAGCATGTTCTGGGAACTTGTTGGGAATGCAAATTCTCAGGCCCCAGTCCAGACCACTGAATCAGAAATTCTGTGGGTGGGGCCCAGCAATCTGTGTTTTAAAGCCTTCCCCATTCCTGACTGCTGTGGCTCGATGGGTCAGGCATTGTCTCACAAACTGAAAGGTCATCTGTTCGATCCTGGACAGGGCACAGGCCAGGGTTGCAGTCCTAGTCACTGATTGGGGGTGTGCGAGAGGCTGCCAACTGATGTTTCTCTGCACCTCTACCTTTCTCTCCCTCTTTTTCTCCCTCCCTCTGCCACTCTCTAAAAATAAATATATAAAATCTTAAAAAAATTTGAAGTCTTCAGGTGACTGTTGTGCAATGAAATTGGAGAACCACTGTTTATTCTACACATGAAGAAACCAAAGTGCAGGTAAATTTACTTACCTCACTCAAGATTGCTATGTAAAAAACAATTGCGAAGGAAGACTGAAAAAATGTCTGCCAGAATGTTAAAGGTGATTTAAGGTTAAAGTGTTTTTGTTTTTTCTTTAAGGTGAGAGCCACCCTACCCCAACACCACCACCACCATCACCACCACCACCACCAATGGGTCCATTCAACATAGTCATTAAGGTTATTGAATAGATCACATAAAAGGGACCAACATGGCCTCTTGAATTTCTGCCACTCCAGACATTCAGAGCTTGTATAGAAGAGTATGGCGATGCTGCTCTCTCCTTGGGGCTGACCCTGATCAGCCCAGATAGCTCAGTGACCCAGAATGGCAGCCATAAGCTTTCTGGATGGCATGACGAGAATGGCAAGTCACTTGCCACTTCAGTCCTTGGACAGAGCCACCTGAGGCTCCTCCCTGAGAGTGCTGTGAATAGGGGCTTGGTATGGAACTACCCAAGCCTCAGGCACTGATGTTTTCAGGCATAGAGATGGTGTAGGAAGTCCATGAACTAGTATTCGAGATAGCACCGCGCTCACTCCCCTTAAACATGTCCAGTCCACTAATGCCTTGGATCAGAAACACGCCAGACCATTAATACTTAATGCACACGATTGTGCCTCTACACAGTTCCGAGCTGTACCAGACTTGTACATGAGTAGATGTTCGGACGCAACATTCTTCCTGGATTCGCCATCACAATACTTTCTAAATGACTACTCTGCCATTCCCTTCAACTACTAACTATAATTTTTGGTACTCAGTCAAATTCGTCATACTAAAAGTATTCTGCTCATCTCTCAAAGGCCATGCACCACCAGAACCATTCCCCTTTGGGACACATGGCATATTTTGCTCCATCTTTCAGGACTGGAATGGGGGATGGGGAGCTTCTTACTCCCCAGGTGGGAAGAGGGGAGGGAGTGGGCTTGGGATTGGAAATACTGAGGCCAGAGACCACAGAGGTGGAACCACTCCCTGTGAGCGATGCAGGGTGGGAGCGGGGTGTGGTGGAGGAGGGGCTGTGAGAGTGGGCAGGGGTCCAGAGCCTCTGCTGCCTTCAACTGAAAGAGCTATACTTTGATCTGTTTTATAAAATAGGGCTCCTAGTCAGATTTTTGTTTCCTACCCTCATGCCAATAAATAAATAAGCAAGCAAAGCAAATAAAGTTCCAATGCTTAAAAAAAGTTGTTTGTTTTTAAACCCCTGTTGTGCACAACCACAGTAGACTCTTTCCCATCACACCAAGCTGTTGCTCTGGAACCTGCCACATGTGGTCTACAGTTGAGAGTACAGGGCTGGATGCCAAACTGCCTTTGCAACCTTGGACAAAATATGTAAGGATTCTGTTTCTCCGTTTCCACATCTGGAAAATGAGGACAACAGTGATGTTAACTTCATAGCTAGGACTAAAGTAATACCTGTAAACATTTAGCACAGAGCCTGGCATATAATAAGCACTTTAAAGTGATAGTTATTATTTCTACTTTGAAGCTTATCTTCAATGTAAATTTATAATTTGTGAGACGCAACCTTGGTGAGAACAGAACGGGCAACTGGGGCAAAGCTGACCGAATTCCTACCAGTCAACACTCATCTCTACTGTTCAGAATGGCTTTTGTGTCCTCCTTTGGTTAAATGTTTCTATTTGAACGTAATTATTTCAATCACCATTGGTTTCCTTGCTGTGCACTTCAGTGAAATCTTCCTAACACGGGCAGGAAAATCCAACAGCATACACATTTTGAGCTGGCAGTCCCGGAGTGTTCCACCATGTGGGTCTGTACTGGGTTATGTGGTGGTTGTGCCATGCAAGGAGTATTCCCAAGGAGGACTCGAGGAAAAAGCCTCAGACTCGAAGGGCCTTTATAGACCACTCCATGAAAGGGGTGGTGGGGCGTCACCAACCTGTACCGGCCAGTTCTCAGAGAGGGACCTCCCATTCCCATAACTCTCTGCTGCAGTGCCTCAGCCTCTGTTTGTTTTAAAGGTGGGAAAAACACATTCCCGGATGGAGCCTGTGCCGTAAATTTACTCTGGCTTCGGTACAGAGGCCCTAGAACCTCTCATCCACAGCTCTGTTTAAACAGGGGGCAGTATTAAAACAGCCCAAGGCGAGAGGCCCTGGTCACAGGCCCTGAGGAGTGTGAGCTTTCCTGGATTCTCGCCTCAGGCTGAGTTGGAAGGTGTAGGGCTTCTCTGTCATACTCAGTAAATGGGAAAGGATTCACTTAATCTGTTAATTGATCATCTGGCTGTAGAGGCCAGAGCAGTGGTTCTCAGACTGTGGTCCCAGATCAGCTCCAGCAGCAGGGGCAGCCTCCAGCAACCACCCATCTAGACCACAACTTCTCATTCTTCAGCGTGCATATAAATTACTAGGATCTTGTTAACATGCAAATTCCAATGAGGGGAGGGGGTGTAAAAATTTTGCATTTTTAACAAATTCCCAGGTGATTAGGGATACTGCCAATCTGCAACCCATACTTAGGGTAGCAGGGGTCTAGAGGTAATACTGGCGGGAGGTGTTGCAGGGGCTACTAAGAGTTTAGTCAAGCCTCAGAGTTCTTTTGACTATTGTCTCTGGGGTCCAATCCAATTGGAGACACCCATGACTTTGGACAGAGTGGAAGCTTGACACAAAATAGCTGAGTAGTTAGATAGGAAAGAAAGCTCCCATTGTCAAGTAGGCATACGAGTGATGCTGGTTGGGGCCGGAGTCACACAGCCAGTTCTGTGGGATTTATCCCGGACCCGGCGAACTCTGCCTCCTCCTACAGAGGTACACAGAGTTGCTTATTATGATATTGTAACTTCTTTGAATTGTTTCACTGATGGTTCTCTAAGTTCTGTTTTGTTTAGTTTTTGTTTTTCCTGGATCAGCAATCTTAAACGTTACATTTTCATCTGAACACAAAATAAATGTTGAGGTGGTTTCTGATGGAAAAGACAACCTTGCCTTCAGTTTATGCTTTGCCATTTATGAACACTTTAAAGTCCTCTGTCTCATTTAATCCAACCTGGTACAAATAAAAAAAAACACTTTATACTTATAAATACTGTGGGGCACTTCTTTCCTCAATTCCTAATCTCGTCAAGGGTTTAGTGCAAAAAAAAGGCCAGCATTCAAATCGTTTCCCTGAGTGCCCCCAGCAGTGATGTCTGCCAGTCTGCTCCAGTTCCCCATGTGGCCAGGACCCGATCAGAGCAGGAGACAGACTGGAACAAGCACCATTTTATTTGGTCGGTTATGTGGTCACGACAGTCGAATTCTTTCATGTGCAAATTACATTTGTGCTGTGGGGAAATATAGCACTCCTCCCTCCCCGTTCTGGATTTTTGTGAAGGTCTCATACTGGTTGGATTTCATTCCCACCCACCCTACCCCCATGTCCTGCATTCCTCTTCTTCAAAGTAATGTCTAGTGGTATATACACACAATGGAATACAACTTGAAATAAAGAGGCATGATATAACATATGGGTGATGGGAGCCACAGTATAAAAGAGTACATAGAATATTCCATTTAGATAAAACTCTAGAAAATACAAACTAATTTACAGTGGAACAAAGCAGGGGAGAGGCAGGGGGTAGGAATTTTGAAGGAACCGAGGACACCTTTGAGTGCGATGGATCATCTTGACTGAGGTGATAGAAAGGACCGAGAGCCACAGTGGGTGAAGGAGAATTGATACTTGCGGGGAGATGAGCTGCTGCACATAAATCTTTCAAGAATCTGGTGCTGTGCACAGAGGAGAGACGAGGAATTCAGATGCTTTGCTGTGCTATGAATACCCACTGTGTGGCATTTTTTCAAGAGATGGAATAAAGATTTTAATTACCTTTCCATTATTCTTGATTGTCAGCTGAGAACTTCCTGGCTTTCCCCAGGGAATCTAAGCAATATTACAGTGGCTCCCCTAATTTCTTCCCCCCTCTGCCAGTCCCTGATCGTTATTTCTGTCCCATCCTTTTTCTGCCCGGCAACCCTAGCTCTTTGTCCCATGCTCCTCCCTGGCCTTGTGGAGTCTCCGCATGCCTGGAGGTCCCTGTCCCCCAAATTTTTCCTCTGATTCTTCTATTTTAGCTTGTTTCTACTTTCTTCCTCCTGGCCTAATGCAGAATTAAAGAAAAGTTTGAAAGTTTGTGGTATTTATTTTAAAAGTATAAGTTTCTCTGCTTTGTTAAAACAACTAATTAACTGC